ATAATACCAGGCCCACCCAAAATATACTTTATGAATAGCTGGGAGTGCTTGTCTTTGTACATAATGATGACTACAGATAAGGCAGAAGATACGACAAGAAGGAAAAAAGCGTCCTTGTCAAACAGCTGGAGAGGAGGTGGGCTCCAGGGACCTCATCACCCCCTTTAAGGGTGCTAGGCTGTAATTGCACCATGTTGCATTGCTTCCTTCTTCCTCCTCTGGTTGCACCCCTTCATTGTGCAGTTTGCTAGAGGCAGCACTGCTGAGCTGCAGACTCCTGTTTACAGAAAGCCACCACCTAAACCAGCTGCTAACGCTCTCAGCGTGGTGACCACCATCCATAAAAACACGTTTGTGTTATGACATCTTTTGCACAAAATACCACTGGATCAATCACCATTCGTCTGAGCTTCTGTCAGGTCCTTTGCCCAGACCAGCTCTGTGCACCAGTTTGATCTGAACAGGGACCACCTCCCTGATGCCAGCTGTGGTTGCTTCACCCTTCTTTTGCTAACAGAGTGCTTCCTGCTTTCTCCCCTGCCTACCAGGAACCAGAAGATGGCTGTAATTGCTACACACAGTGGCAGATGGGAAATGGATGCTAATCTACACCTTGATTAATTTTGTTGCCTTCTTATGCATAACTAGCACACAGAAAAGCTGCAATGCCTTTTCAGTTAAGAAAATGGGTGTCCTTAAACCACTCTACAGAAAAGAAAAAATAATCCTTTTTCAGTTAAGTTTAATTTGTATTGAAGTGTGATCAGTAGCAACTCGAATGCTTTTTGGGGATGTCACCAGAAAATGTTGCATTAGCCTGATCAATGTATGTGCGTATGTATGTATAATGCTGCAGAAACTTAATATTATCAAGATAAAAACATTTAGATAATAGAAGTTTGAAAACCAAAAATGTAGCTGTTGCCTTTAAAGGACCTTTTAACTTTCTTGAATGCACTTTTTTCACTCAGGTCAACTTGGCAGAGCCATGCTCAGTTTTGCAGGCACCTGAATGCACAAGTGTTCTGCAGTGCAGGGATTACCAGAGCCAAAAAGACGTCTTACCTGTATCAAGATTTTATCTACTATAACCTGGTAATTGTCTCCAAGATTACACACCACTTCCTTTTTATCTGCCACCTCCCCTTTGCGTACATCTGCCATTCCATGTCACTGCTAAGACAAGGAGGACAGATTGCTTAGCAAAGTCCATAAAACTCTGTGGGGATCATCCCACATCCAAGCCACCCATGCAGCATGCCTGGCTGTCTATGACCAGCAATGAACCTTTGTAATTAATATAAGACTATGGCCTTTTCTGAGAGTTGCTAGGATTCAGTAATTAGCAGTTGTAAAGCTGGGGCAGCTGAGCTGCAAGTATTTTTAGTCTCCTATAATATTTTTCAGGCTGCTTCAAGAAATCTGTCATCCAAAGTCACTCTATAATATGGCGATCGAAGTCCAGCAGGTGAGGATATAAATAAACGTGGTTCACAAACAAAATAATTTATCTTACCAAAATGAGTATGATTGTTCAGGGGCATAATGAGCATGCCAGTGTCAACAGGCCCTACGTACACAACACTCCATCCCTTTATTTTGTAGTTGTGGAAACTACTTGTAGGGATTTCTTAGGCCTTTGGAAGAACATTTTAGACTTTCTTGGTCGTGCTTTCTCAAATATCTTATTTGCATATCCTCTTCTAAAGAGTCTCTCATTGTCTTTGTGTAAACATTTATTTTTGCTCAGCAGTAATAATAACTAAATATATATGTTACTGTAATAATTAATAGCAAATGAATAGATTTGCACTTGCCTATACAAACAGTATTTTCTTATGTTGTACATAGACTTTCAGATAAATATTATTATTAGAGTTTCTTGTAAAGTTTGTGTCCATCACCTCTCTTTAAAAAAGATCACATTTACTCAGTCTCAAATTATTTAATAAATCTTTCGTTTGCCTTTATCACAATTAACATTACATAAAAAGAGGGAACATGGTATCACAACTTTGTGTAGAACTTCAGATTTTAAAAAACTATGCTCCTTCACGGAAGGAAGTTAGTGAATTAGGCAAATGGAAGCATGAAAAAATTTACCTTGTAAAAATTCATGCAGTGAATAATACCCCTATGTTGGTTTGTTTATTTTACAGGAAATTTGCTTTTTAACTTTGCTTAACACTTTAGAAGTATTTAAATAGAGAACACTTAGTATTTTTGCTATTTAATACCATATCATTTTTCAGTAGCAATGATTTTTGCCAACAGTTCAAAACTGCTCTATATATGAGAAGTAACATCACATGCCTGTATGGAGAGTTGACTCTCTCTGACAGTGGCTTATTTTTTTTTCTTTAATATGAGCACATTAGTCTCCTCCAGATATAAAACACTGTAACACACAATAAAGCTGCAGGATGCTGAATACACTAGTTTCTTAACACTTGTCCCCCTCCTCCTTTTCCATTTCCCCATAAATACACACTTTCATGCAGCTGGACTGTCACACAAGTACCATGTTGAGTAAAGCAAACAGAAAAAAACCCAATATAAATGTCAATAAAACTGTTTAGAAAAGGACACTAGGGAAGAACCTGTTATTGACCACCATTTTGAGACCTGAACAGTATCATGTTTGTACCACACTAACTGAATTTAGATAATAGTACTATCTCTTCAAATGTGGATTTAAATGGTATTCTATTTTTTAAATTCTATCTGTAAAGTTTGTGGTTTTCCAACTTCAATAAAAATGGACAAGGAAGAAGACTGTATTAGAGACCCTAAAGTTCTGCAAGTATCTAACATGAAAAGCTCCATTAGGTAAAAAAAAAAAAATGGAAGAGGATCTAGATGCCTTTATTCTACTGTGGGAAAAGTTGGGAGAAAACAATTTTCAAACAAACCGACTGGGACAAGACTCAGGCCACACAGCAGGTACATACCAACCAGTCAAGTCAGTGCATGTGCATCTTCAGCCTGGCCACAGCACATGACATCTCTTTCCATTTCACAGGCCAAAAATAAGGCGTGTAGTGTGTGTGTGTGTGGGGGGGGGGGGATAGAAAGAGGAAACAATAGCATTATTATGCTGGGGAGAAGGAAGGAATGACAAGGATACCATACTGCAGACATATGAGAAAGTCCAGGATACAGAGAGTGTAGGATTGAGGAAAACATTAATACACGTGACTAAGCAGAAGGTGAGCTTACTGAATACCAGGCTTCGCTTCACAGTTTACAGAGCTGTATGAAATTCAGCACACTGCAGGTGACCGCCTGCCCACCTGGGGAGAAGGGGAGCAGCAGCTATCGGCAGAGGGAGATACTGCCCTGGCAAAGCTCTCGGTAACAAATCTGCCTGAAAAAGGCTACAAAGAGTAAATTCACTGCACCAGGATTTTTGTACTTTGCAATTTGACAGAGGAAATACATATGTTTCCACTTCCCAACACACACTGCACTCAAGAAAAATCTGATAAAACCTGAGGGATCCAGCAGCTCAATCCACTCACCTAGAGTTCATCACACCAGATGTTGGAAAACCCAAGGGAACAGTAACTACCTGCATTTCAACATCCAACACAGCTACACACACACACATCACCTACCGCCTTGTTCAGAGCAGGTGTACTGGTGACCTGTGATACCAGAGGTATGTTCAAGACAGTCCAGTCACTTCCCTGTTGTATCTAGCAGGTCAGATGCACACAAGCTCTCCAACAGTGCATGTTGCATATTTAATTTTATGAACATAGCATGTAGAATATCATCTCAGTAGTTAATTCTACTTTTCTCATTTTAGGCAAGAGGGTCAAAACCAACACCACAGTGTTAATGAGATTCGTCATTCAGTTCCTTATCTTGTATCTCATTATTTCTTTGGCAACAGGAGTTACAGCATTTCCTTTATAAGTCAGATATGCTGGACAGACTAGTCATATTTACTTGCTAGTCAATATATGTTACACAGATTACTGACTGCCAAAGCAAGCGCTTTTATCCAAAGCTCTGGGAGGTAGATAACCTAAGTTTGGTCAGCCTCCGTGACAGTAAACAGCAATAACAGAAACAGATTCTAGCTCTGCAACAGCTTTGTAATGGATGGCTATGCAAATTAGTCGTGGTTTAATAGCTCTTCCCTAAGTCTACCCACCCCCAACCCTAAAGCCAGAGATTCTAGATTAGAGGCTTGTTTTATTTTAAATACTTACAACATTTGAAAGAGCTGTCTATGCATTCCTGAAATTGCAACATTCACAGCATGTTTATTTTTTGTACAAACAATCCATATTTTATTTTACTCCAGTTGCACATTAAAAGTGAAACATAGGATAAAGCATCCTTTTCACAGCTTTAAGAAAAAAAATCATGTTATTGAGATATTAGAAAGCCAATACAAACTGTTAATTGGAGTTCCAGAATATTTTCACCTGTGCTGAGGTTACTTGCTTTAAGGAATATTACAGTGATGAATCTGTAAGCATAACTTAGCAGATCATCATTTCAATATTGAAGAAAAGCCCATTTCAAAGTTTTATTAATTCAAGTCATAAAAAAGTTACAGCAAGTTCAAAATATGTACAAACAGCCATAAAAACATCGTGTTCAGTTACGCAGGAGACAGTCTCATTACAGCATGGCTACAAAACAACTTTTTCAATAAAACTCCCACAAAGGTAAAATAACCGTTTAGGTATGTATGCTCCAAAACTCTAGTAACAGCAGTTGTCAATTCATTTCATCATCATTAAAAAAAATCAGGGAGCAATAGTTAAGTTTGACTTGAGCAAGGGGGCATTTAAGATTTAACTCTCAACAAATAGTAAAAGTAATAGCATGGCTACCAGTCTTGGGTTTTAAGAGTTTTAGCAATCATTAAGTGAGCACAACTGCCTCCCTTTCAGGAGGAATCTTGCCAGAGTCAAGATCCATGCCACCAGTGTTTTTGCTGTCTTCTTCTTAGAAAGCTTACTGTGTCTTCATCGGTTTAATTATGCGTTCAGCCCTCTATGCATTTCATTCATCTCCTTTACCTGGAAGGGACAAGGTAGAGGGAGATCAACTTTTGTCCTGCTTCTCCACATGAGACCTCAGAAGTCAATAAGCCTTAACAACCCAGGTTCTCTTTAGCAAAGGGATTCGATGTTAACACTAACAGAATTGAACGTGCTAAGACCACTTCAGCTTTTATTATTTTTTTAAAAAGCACAAGACTTTTCGGGGTGTGTGCAGGGAGCAGACTTCACCATTTAGCTACAACATTCTCTGAATTCCCTCCCTTGGGGTGAAGCACCCTGTGCTGGTACCATTTGTTACTGTTCCATTGGAAACTCCCTTTTCAACAGGAACTGCAAACAGCATGCAAATCCCTTAACTACGGCTCTTCTCGACAGAAGAACAACAATCAGCATTTCCTGTGGATTGTATAGCCCTTCCTATAGATATGTAAAAATCGTACTTGCTGCCGGCACTGCCCCCCACCCTTGGGTAAGGCAGCAGATCACCAGATGCTCTTGAACCTAACACTGAACATGATGAACTACATAGAGGTGAAAACAAGTTACAGAATTTGAATACTTTCAGTCTCCTTGAACAGATCTGAAGCGTGCAAAGCAAGCTTTTGACCTACAGCAAACGTTAAGAGTTGCTGGATTCTGGCCAACCTCCTCCCCAAAAAAGACACCATACATAGAAATTCATTACCTCTGCTTTCACGTACTTCCCTTTCCTCCTTCTCGTGAGGACCTGGAAAAGGACAGAATAATTAAGTTTTATTTAAGTCTTGACCTACTTTATTGAGTTGTGACTTCAAAACTTTAAACTTGGAAGCTGTGCCTTCCCCCTCCTTCCCAAGTGCAGTACACAAGAGACTATCAACTACTTTAAACCAGGAGGCAAGACAAGTACTTGCTTCATCTCGACAAGTTTTTCCTAATACCTTCATTTTCCACACAACACTCTTCAGTCATAACATGAAACGATGGTATGTACACATACACATCATCACCTCATTCGCACCTTCCAAAGTCTCAAAAAAGTAGCCAGTTTAGAAATGAAAACTGTTCCTGTAAAATTACTCTATTTCCCAAATTACACTGTTACCCGTGCTGCTTGGCAGCTTTGTTTGAACTTACCAAAAGAACAATTGCAGCAACTATTGCTATTACTATTACTACAATGACAGCAATAAGGCCAGGAGTCAGAGACTTCATGGAAAACTCGGGTGCAATTTCATCAACATAGTAGACAACTGTCTTCTCCAATTTCAGTTGTTCATTGTCAAAGCTGATGTCTAGTCCCTTATCACCATGGAAGATGGGGTCACCTTTCATCTAAGAATAGAGAGAGACTTGCTAGTTGACATCATAATAGGCCTTGATCTAGCAAAAATTCATCTTGCTTTAGCCATCAAACAGCAAGACTACTGAATGCAATGCAATATACACATCTAGCCTTTGGCAGACTTTACCCATGACACACTTACATCTTTTTCAAAGTAGTAGGCCACATCAGCTATATCCACATCTCCAGGAGATTTTTCTGAGGAATTTTGCTTCAAATCAATAGTAATGAAAGGTTTCTCATACTGCAAAAAACAGAGTACAGTATTAAGAGAGCTAGTTTAAATCCAGCTATCTAGTACACGGCAAAACATTACGATTCAACTTGTGAACTCTCATACTAATCGAGTTTATTGTACTTGTTCTCAAGCCAAGTGTTTACAGCACGATTCAAATTCCATTTTTAGTGAAGCAAAGTAAGAATTAATCTACAAACTTAGGCAATACATAATTTCTCTGTAGTTCAATTCAGACACAGCTATTTGCTAGCTGTTCAGTAGGTTTCATTATTTTGAGGGCTTCTAAGACTCGTGCTGTTCTGCATGAGTAAAACACAAGTTTTCAAAGCTATTCAAAACAAAATAAAATTCTGATACTTTACTAAAAATTATGTTCCTCTTACCAGAACACTACTGATATAACGTCCATCCAGCATATAACGAGTGGTAAGAGTATCCCTGAAGAACCTGTAAGGATAGTAAAGCCAGAGCTGTTAAACACAGTACTATTTCACACATCTGTTTTCAAAAACAGGGAAGACTGGTATAATTGTTGGGAGTTATTTTTCCCCCTGCAGTTTCTGTGTTGACCCCAGCTGGCAGCTAAATCCTCAACTAGACTCTCACTTACCCCTAACAGGGCTGGGAAGAGAATCTGAAGGGCAAAAGCAAGAAAAAATGCTCCAACTCATAGGTCAAGATAAAGACAGTCTAACAAGTTAAAGGGTTGAGTGGGGGAAATAATAAACCTGAGGTGATGCAAAAGCAATCACTGACCACTAGCAGACTGATGGCCAGCTAACCTCAGCACAATGCCTACTTGGTAAAAACTTTTCAGATTTATTGCTAAACATGGCATTATACACTATGGGATATCTCTTTGGTCAGCTGGAGAGAGCCAACTTTTATGTGTCCCCTCCCAACTTCCTGCCCACCCCTGCCATCTTTGTTTACTTTTTGGGTAGTTTCACTGTATTACTTAAATTTTCCTTCAGTATATTCACTTGATTAAAAAAATAACAATGAATTTTGAATAGAAGTGAATCTCATTAGCAGGAAATTATTTCCAATACAAATTAAAGCAATTCTAGGAAGGATCTGCATGTCACTTCTAAGATGTCTTACAAAGGAGTTCAGTGATTTGACAATGCTTTTAAACAATTGTTTGGAAATACACTAGACACCTAGTGGTGCATGTGGGCAATGCCATGATGTCTTGCTATCATAACTTACTTATTTAAAGATTCAGTGTTCAGAGGAGAGTCTCTCTCAGCATGTTTCATTTCAATGATGATCCACCTGAAGCAATAAGCAAGCACAATGAATACTCTCAAAGCACACACATGTTACAGAGCATACTAAAAATCTAACCCCGGGGGGGGAAAAAAAAAGAGCAGTGAGTGGAAAAAAACCTAAAGAAACCCCTCTCAAAAACCCTTCTATCTCTCCTAGCTACTGAAGAGGAAAAAACAGTCGTAAAAGAGCATTTACTACTCCACCTTCATTCACAGTGCTGCCCTGTGATAGGGCAAGAGGCAACAGTCAAGAACTGGAACACAGGATAGTTCCACCTCAACGTGAGGAAAAACTTCTTTACTCTAGGCATGATGGAGCACTGTAACAGGTGACCCAGAGAGGTTGTGGAGCCCCCTCCTCTGGAGATTTTCAAGAGCTGTCTGGACACATTTCTGTGTGATCCAGCCTAGGTGATCCACTTCTGGCAGGGGGCTTTGATTAGAGGATCTCCAGAGGTGCCTTCCAACCCCTAACATCCTGTGGTTCATGCTAAGCATGTCATTCATACATACAAATCGTCAAAAACACAGAGCCACATACAGGAATGCTTAAATGTCACAACACACCCTGTTGAAAGACTTACATTGTTCTGACTAACTGATTGCACTTCAAGTCTGCATCATGTTTGTCTGTTCTTCTAACGCCAGCTGTATTCACACACCAACAGGTGGTTCCATTGCACTGCTTCGCCTTGAACACACCAGTATTTTCACACTCTGGATCATACAGCCCATCAGTATCTTCAAATGCATCTTTTGGTTTCTCACGGCGACCGGATTTTGTGTGTGCCATCTCTGCTTTCATCAACAGGCATTTTGAGGTCACTAGAAACAACCAGAAAGTCACGTTACACGGAGCTCTTAAGTCTGTAAAAACATGGAACTGTATCAGAAGCAACCAGATTTGAAGCCATTGCAAGGAAGAGAAGGTGCCCAGCACGCAGGTGGTGCAGAAAGTCAACAGCACTATGGCAGCAGGTTCTGAAGCAAAGCCACCCTCAGTTTCATTCAGCCAGAGGCTCCTTTACAGCTTAGCTGAGCTTGAACCAAGAGTAAGGTCCTGAAACAAGGCTCTTTGACCCCTGGAGGTGTAGAAGCCATGGCACTTGCTTAGAAGGAAGACAAATCTTTGGAAAAACCTTCGTCAACAGAGACCCAAAATTAAGGAGCTCGGGGGAAGCTGCACCAGAACAAACGCTCACACACCCACACCAGTTACAGCAGAGGAGCCGACGTGGAAAACCCAAGTTACTACTGCTGTTTGCTGGGAACTCCTGCTCATTCCCACGCACCCCCTCGAGTTCAGCCCCGGGGCACGTCCCCCTGCCCACCGCCCCACGCCGGGGAGCGGACCCCCCGGCTGCACTCACGCGTGTTGCAGTTCACGGGCACGCCCGAGCCCACCGCCTCGCACTGGCAGCCGCCGTCGGTCATCCGGCAGTGGGTCACACGCTTGTTGTTCCGGCACACGCAGGCTGGGAGAGAAGCGCGGCTGTGAGCGCGGACCCCCCCCGGGGGGGCGGA